CAGCTCTTAGAGGTGGGAAGATCAGAATGAGGGAATTAAACAAACATTGGAAATAGGAGTTGTCTTCAAACTATAGACCCAACCTGGTGAGATTTAAAAGTGGTTTGCTAAATTTGATAGGAAAGGTGAATATTGATCAGTCTACAAGCAGCAGACTGTTATTAAGTGCTATGTGCCAGGTTCTGGGAATATAAAGACAGAGTGGCTGCTTTCTAAATAGCAACTAATAACAATTTGTTGTTGAGTCCTTTCAATCGTGTCCAACTTTTCATGATCCCATTCGCAGTTTTCTCGGAAAAGTTCCTGGAGTGGTTTACCATTTCCTTCTTCAGCTCATTTTACAGATGAGGAAACTGAGGCAAACAGGGTCACACAACTAGGAAGTATCTGAGGTTAGATTCAAACTCATGAAGAAGAATCTTCCTGATTCCAAGCCCAGTTGTCTATCCACCGCACCACCTAGCTGCCTTAATAATAGTAATAGCTAAAATGTATATGGTGCTTTAAGGTCTGCAAATGTTTTATGTGTATTATTTCATTTGAGCCTGACTACAACACTGTGAGGTGGGTGCTACTTATATCCCCATTTTCAAGTCAACTAAAGGTCAATAGCATTTACTTGGCACCTATTAGCTACTCTGTGCTAAGTACTAGGGATCCAAAGAAAGGCAGAAAAGCAGTCACTTCCCTCAAGGAGTTCACAGTGTAATGGGAGAGACAAAATATAAGAGAAAACTATATGCAAACAAGATATATACAGGACAATAATGATCATTATTAATAACAATAGCCAGTATTTATATAGCACTTACTATGTTCCAGGCTTTGTGCTAAGAGTACAAATATTATCTTATTTGATCTTCACAACAACCCTGGGAGATAGATGCTATAATTACCTCCATTTTACAATGGAAGAAACTGAGGCAGACAGAGGTTAAGTGACTTGTCCAAGGTCACACAGTTAGTGGGTACTATCAGAGTCATATGTAGCTCTGGTGCTAAGGAGAACACCCAAAAATGGCCCGTGGGTAAAGCTTGGTGTACCCCTTCTCACAGCACTATTCAGAAAACTCAGTCTGCATTCTCGAAAGCATTCTGGAGAAAGAGAAAGAGAACAGACAAAAGAAAAAAGATTTCTCAGAGATATCCCCATTTTACAGATGAGGAATCTGAGGCAAAGAGAGGTTAAGTGGCTTATAATTATAGTTATTATAAATGTAGCTATTTAGCATCTTAGACAGGATTTGAACTCAGTTCTTCCTGATTCCAACTCAAACACTCTACCCACTGTACCAATTAGCTGCCAAAGTCACCAAAAGGAAGCCATGCTGTTTACTCTGTAGCTGCAGATTGAGGGTAGGGGTGGTGAGACATTCAACACCATATATCTGCAATGCAGTCAATTAAAACTCCATATAACAACAACAGCAGCTAGCATTTACATGGAACTTTAAGGTTTGCACAGTGCTTTACAAACCTTACCTCATTTGATATAAAGAACACTTTTTGGCAATTGCAGTTGCCCAAATTGGGGTGGGCTGTTCCAAGAAATAGTGGGTCCTCTTTCCCTGGAGGTCTTGAAGCAAAGATAACATGATGAGTAGCTAGGTATACTGGGTATGGTATGGGAGAAATTCTTTTTGTGTATGGCCATCAAGGTACCTCCTAACTCTGGGTTTCTCTAAAATAACTATTTATTGGAAAGAGATTTCACTATTCCCATGAGTAACTAAATATTTCAACCTTTTGAAGAAAGATGATATTCTTTTTTTTTTCTTTGCTAGGCAATAGGGTTAAGTGACTTGCCCAGGTTCACATTGCCTAGTAAATGTCAAGCGTCTGGTCTGACACCAGATTTGAACTCAGGTCCTCCTGACTCCAGGGCGTGTGCTCTATCCATTGTGCCACCTAGCTGCCCCAAAAGGTGATATTCTTGACCCATTGTCAGTCGACTTGCTTCCCTGTAGTAGAGTAGGACTTTCACTCCCCTCACTCTCTTACCAGCCTTCCTTGTGACCAAGGACACACAATTGGGAGTTGTCTGGGCAAGGGGTGGAGGTGTAGTCTATGGCCAGGAAACAGAGAGAAGAAAATGATTCTTTACTAGAATCAAACCTTCAATTCAATTCAACCAAAGTTTATTGAGCATGTACTGTGTGTGAGATGCCTGGGTTAGCACGTGAACCTTTGAAAGTCATCCAAAATGGAGCAAAGCAGCAGCCACTGGCTACATTTACATGTATTCACATATATTTGCATAACCAACTCTAACTTCTCACTCTTACATTGGTATAGGCTGCTCTGTTTCCCAACATGGGCAGAAAAGATTCCTTGCTGATAAAATTCCTGTCAACTCATAATCAGGGCAAGATAGTGGCCTTAGCTAACTCATTAGCAGGGTTCAGATCAATAGAACATGCTGCCTGCTTCTTGCCAGAGATCTGAGCATCTACAGCCCTACCCAAGAAAGCTCTGTCTCATAATGTGAATCAGTCTGCTTCACTGGTTTCTTTCTTCTAAAGGCTAAGTCAAAAACAGCCACCTACTGGCTCCAGTTCATCAATCAGGGCTCTCACAGAACCACACAGATGAGGGGTCTGTTGTCAGTCTTTACACGTGAGATCTATCCTTCATCTCCAGTCCCCCTTGCCGCACTTCAGATATATGCTTCAGGCCAGACTTTGGTCAGGATTTTATTTATAATAAATTTGAATAATAAAATTAGAATAAATTTGAAGTGAGAACATAAGGAGAGGAGAGCATGGATTGGGAATGAAGGAAGGAAAGAAGGAAGGAAGGGAAAAATTTTTAATAAATGTTTACTATGTGCTAAGTACTAGAGACACAAAAACAGGTAAGCAAAACAGTCTGTGCCCTCAAGGAGTTTATATTCTACTGTGGGAAAGCAACACATAAAGAGAGCTAAGAAGAGGGAAGAAGGTGGGAAGGGCAGAAGGTACCTTTATGCACTCTGTAGCAAGGTTTGGAAATGGCTGGGAAGTAACAGAGAGGCCTCGCTCTGGGCAAGAGAAGGGGAAGGTCCAACCATCAGAACTAGAGTCTCAAAGAAAGAGTTCAGAATTGGGTGGAAAGGAGATGCAGGGGATAGGCGGAGTGTAATTCATAATTTTTGCATCTGTAACAATTGCATCAGGAAGATACACCTCTAAAATATGGCCACCAGGAGACATAGGGACATCATGAGGTTTCTAAACTTTTGAAGAAAGAGAAAGCTCTCCCAGTACAACGCTTATACTACCTTAGGGATATGATGATCAGAGGAATAGACATACTGTGGGACTTTGGTGTCAACCCCTTATAAATTTCCCAACCTGGAACAAAGCCATATGGCCTTACCCTAGTTATAGCTCTAGTTTAGTTATGCAAAGTAGAAAAATATCTATGTCAATAGGTTCTATAAACTAATTGTTTTATTTTTTTCATGAAGGATTCTAGGAGTTAGAGATGGAGGGAACATTCAAGATCCTCTCCTCCCTATTACACAGCTGGATAAAATGAAACATAAAAGGAATTCAGTCTACCCTCTTTCATAAGGTGACATTTACTAACTGGTACCTTACAGCTGTGACTCCATTAACACTATCCTTTGTGCTATCACAGTTAACAATCAATGCCTATATGGATCACAGAATTTGAGAATTGGAAAGGACCTTGACACAATTTTGTCCAGCAAAATCCCTATAAAGCATACCCATCCTCCGGAAGATGTTCAAGGAAGAGGACTCCATTACCTGGAATGGAGGCAGGCCATTCCATTTGGGGACAACTGTAATTGTTAAGAAGGATTTCTGACTTCAAGGCTAATTGGTCTCTTTGCAACTTCCACCCATTAGTTCTGTTCTTGTCTTTTGGGGCCAAGCAGAATAACTCTAACCAACTATCATGTCCCCCTGAGTCTTGTGTTCTTCAGGCTAAACATCCCCACTTCCTTCAAGTGACTCTCATACAACACGAGCTTGAGGAACGTTGCCATTTTGTTTACCCTCCTCGGGACACTCTTTACCTTATCAACATCCTTCTTAAACCATGGCATTCAAAAAAACAAAACAAACAAAACAAAACATGGCATCCAGAACTGAACACAATAATCCAGATGAGATCTGATCAGGAAATATTACAAGACTATCACCTCCTTCTTCCTGAAAGCTGTATTCCTCTTAAAGAAATTCAAATTTGTATTAGCTTTTTTGACTGTAATGTCATACTGCTTAGTTATACTGTGCTTGCATTCCACTTAACCCCTCTGACTTTTCTCAAACAAAATGATACTTAACTATGCCTCTTCAATGCTGTACTGGGGAAGTTGATTTTCTGAACCCAAGGGTAAGAGTTTACATTTACCTCTGTTTAATTCCATCTTATTAGATTTAGCATAATGCATATTATTTAGCATAATAACATTACAAAATCTTTTTTGGATCCTGAGTCTTTCACTTAATGGGTTAGTTAGCCCTCCTAGTGTGGCATCACTCCTAAATTCCATAAACATCCTCTCTATACCATTCTCTAAGACATTGGTTAAAAATATTAAACAGCATAGAAACAAAAACAGAACCCTTGGGGACTCATTTGGAGATTTTCTAGCCAAGGTAACATCAAACCACTAACAATGACTGAACCATTCAAGCACTTCCAAATCCATCTAATTGCCTTGCTTTCTAGGCCACATTTCTCCACCTTTTCTTGAGAATAGTATGAGCTATTTTATCAAATATGTGGCTAAAGTCTAGGCAAATCGTATCTATAGCATTCTCCTCATTTCCTAGTTTAATAACCCTGTCAAAAAAAGAAATAAGGCATGAAATATTCTTGATGAAACCATGCAGCTCTTTGTAACCACCACTTCTTTTTCTGGATGTTCATTATCCTCCATCCTTTGAATAGTCCATTCTTGAATTTTTCCAGAAATAGATCTCAGAGGAGGGTTTTGATACATTTAATCCACAAAAAAAAAGAGGTAATTTCTTTTGGTTACTTACTGTTCGTGGCTCAAATCGGAAACTGATGAGAAGTAAGATCTGGGCCACCAGAATGGCAAAGGACAAGTTGGCATGGATATGGTAGCGCTGGTTTCGGATGGTACTGACTGAGCTGGAGAAAATAAAAATGAAGCAAGGATCATGATCAGAATGAAAGCACAAGTCTCCTGGCTCATTCCTGACTTATCATAAGATCATACAATCATAGGTCTAAAGCTAGAAGGGCCTTCAGAGACCATCTAAGTCAAACCTTTTATTTTATAGATGGGAAAACTGAGGTCCAGGGGAGTGAAGTGACTTGCTTAAAGTTATACAAGTAATAAATATCAAAGGTAGAATTTGAACCCAAGTTCACAGATCTATTATAGCAATGAATATTCTGCTACTATTGCGAACTTGCCAAAGATAATGGGGTTTTTTTGAGTGGTTTCATTAAGGGCTGAAAATAAAGAAGTCATAGCTACCAGCCCCTAAGTGCCAAGGATGAGATGCTCATTTCAATTTCAAAGATATCATGGGTGTTCCAATCTAGACCCCTCTTCACCCTTGGCCACAGAGTCTTTTCTGTACAGGAACAATATGTTCCAGACCCAAGGGTGGGTCCTTTTGGCCTCTGTAAGCCTGCTTTGATGCTACCATCAGGGATGTCTACTCCCAGCCCTTTCCATGGGGAGGACATATGGAACATGATGACATGGGAAGTAGCTAGGCCTCTGATGGTGGGAATAGTATGTGCCCCCAGAATGTTTGCTTTTGCTTTGTTTTGTTTTGTTTTGTTTTCCCCCTGTTAATCCAGGGTGAATAAGTAGGAGAAAGAAAAAAGCAAAAAGAAATCAGCCCTGTCCAGCGTCTCCTGAGTAATTTGAAAAGACAGGAAGGTGCTGAGAGGCAAAGGTGGGGAGATGGAGTAATGCATTACTTCAGGAATAAACCTCATCTGTATGCAAAAACTAAAGCATCACCAAACTGCAAGTCAATCCTTTAAAATTGTGAAGTTCCATCAGTGGAGACAGGAAGTGCAAGGAAGGAACTTGCCTGATTACATGCCATATAACCTGGGGCTACTTGATGCCAGACAGTAACATAGTACTTCAGAATTCCCATGTACCCCAACATCCAGGAAATGCCCACTATAAATAATTGAGGGGCAGCCTACTGTGGGGAAAAGGGCATTGGATTTGAAGTCAGATGATTTGGTGCAAATCCCACCTCAGCTACTTGCTACCCGAGTCACCTTGGGCAAGTCACTTACCTTCTCTGGGCCTCAGATTCTCCATATGTAAAATTAAGAGTTTGAACCAGAGGGTTTCTGAAAGGTCCCTCCTCGTTCTAATATTCTGTGTCCTAAAGGCCCTCCCAGATATGACATTCTCTGTTCTAAAGACCTACCCAGCTTTGACATTCTCAGTTCTAAAGATCCTTCTCATTCTTATTCCGCGATTCCACTTTCCATTGGCACCCAGATCATAGGATTTAGAGGCATAAAAGGACTTTAAGACCATCCATTACAATTGGAAGGCATTCAGAGGAAGACATTTTGATTTCATGGAAAGGATTTTGACTTCATGGAAAGTGGCTCAGTGGATAGAGAGCTGGACCTGGAGTCAGGAAGACCTAAGTTCAAATCTGACATCAAACACTTACTAGCTGTGTGACCCTAGGCAAGTCACTTACCCTCTGTTTGCCTCAGTTTCCTCATCTGTAAAATGGGATAATAATAGAACCTACCTCCCAGGATTGGTGTGAGGATCAAATGAGATAATAATTGTAAAGTGCTTAGCACAGTGCCTGGCACATTGTAAGTGTTATAGAACTTCTAGTTAACATTATTTTATTATTATTTTTATCTATGTGACCCTAAGCAAGTCACTTCCCCTCCCTCGGTCTTGTTGCCTCTTTAAACTGGAGATTATTGTCGTTGCTGCTGCTGCTGCCAACAACAACAGCAACAAATTGGAGATAATAATCGCACCTATCTCCTGGGGTTGTTGTGAGGATCTAATGAGGTAACACACGTAAAGCGTTTGCAAACCTTAAAGTGCTACGGAAATTTTAGCCATGATGATGATGACAATGACGATGATGATGATGATGATGATGATGCCGCCATATGACAATTTGAAATGTTTAAAGGACTAGGCTTGTTCAGCTTAGAGAAGAAAAAAAATCTTGCACTTCCGCTGGGGATGGGGTAGGTGGCAGGCATGGGAGGGATAATATTACTTTCCCTTCTAGCCAAATTGACCCACTTCCTGTTCCCTCCCCATGACATTCCATCTCCTATGACTGCCTACATGTTTTTACACAGGCTGGCCCCCTGTGTAAATGCAATGTATAGAAGCTCTCTTCACTTCTGCCTCGTAGAAATCCGAGATCCTTTCAAGACTCATTTCCTGCAGTTGTTAATTACTGAAATAATTTATATTTGGGGGATCCATATCTGTGGGTATTTTTTTAAGCTCAGTGGAATGTAAGCTCCTTGAAGGCAAGGACAGTCTTGATTTTATATTTTATGTATATATATGTATATATTATATTTGTATATTTGTATCCTCCATGTCTCTTGCCTGGCACATCGCAGGCACTTCATAAATATTTACAGATTGATTGATTGATTATATAGCATTTGAAAGGATGTCATATGGAAGAAGGATTAGATTTTTTTAGCTTGGACTTAGAGGGCAAAACCGGGAGCAAAGGACATAAACTACAAAGGATAAACATAGGCTGGACATCAAGAAAAATAAAAATAAAGAAACTCCCTAACACTTAGAACTGTCCCCAAGTGCACTGCCTCCAGAGGGAGTGGGTACCCTCTTACTGTAGATTTCCAAGCAAAGGTTGGGTGACCACTTGTTGGCTAAGTTGAAGAATGGATTCTCAGTCAAGTGTGACTTGAACTAGAGAGTTCAGTTCTGACATTCTGAGATCAGGGAACCCCATCATTTAAAAGGGAAGAATGAAGATCCAGAGCAGTCATCTGCCCAGCTGAAAAACAGCTGAAACCCCGCTTTCTGCAGAAGGCCTTCCCTCTGAGATCATCTGCTCTTTACACTGTATATATCTTATACATAAACAACCTAGTTGTTTCTATATTGGCTTTTGGTTGGCTTCTCCATTAGAATGTAAGCTTCTTGAGGGAAGGGGCTGTGTCTTTACCTTTCTCTGTACCCCCAATGCTTAGCACAATGCTTGGTACACAGTAAGCACTTAATAATAAATGCCTGTGAACTAACTGACTGACATAATAAATGGGAACCTGGTCTACAATTCTAATGTTCTTTCTACCACCCCCTGCTAACTAGAGTGGTTTACCATTACTAGTAATAATATCTATCTATCTGTCTGTCTATCTATCTATCTATCTATCTATCTATCTATCTATCTATCTATCTATCTACCTATCTATCTATCTATCTATCTATCTATCTATCTATCTATCTAAGCATTTTGCTGAAGGTCACACAACTAGAAAGGGTCTGAGGCCATATTTGAATTCAGGTCCTTCTGACTCTAGTCCCAGTATACTAGTCACTGTACCATCTTGTTGCCCTAAATAGCAAATGAGTATTTTTTCCAGACTTTCTCTCCCATCCTATCTGTATTGACCCTCCATTTTCAGCTTTTAATGCTCCTATATCCCTAAAACTTGTTCCCTAGTAGCTGCTGCAGGAAAGTTTCCTAATGCCTCACAGTCACTTTCCCCATCCAGTTCTCCTTCAGCCACAAAAGGAATATGTGTGTGGGGGGGGGGGCGGGTGTCTGACTCAGTCCAAATGCCTCGAGTGCTCTGAAGGGCAGGGGTAGCCTTAGGGCTTGGGGAGGCTCGTAAACTGTCCAGCTTCTTCATCAAACAGGTTCCCATGATACTAACTTGGCTCTGCTTGGCATAGAGTCCCTCACAGGCTCCAACCCAACCACAGGTATCTCCAAGGGAACCAGAAGAGCGGGGAGGGGCTGCCATACTCCAGAAGTCAGAGTATTTTAAACACCCACTTTATTATGGAGGGGAGAGAGAGATAAACTCTGCACAATAGGAAGATGTTAAATACTCAGGAACAGATGCGAAACTCATTTCTTCGCCGCTATTCAGACGTTAACAAAAGCACCATAATTTCACCTGTGATAGGCAGCCCTGATAGGTGACATGCAAGCTGAATCTCTGGTTAGCGAGCAGACAGCACAACTATTTCCTCTTCATATTCTCATTCCTGCTTCTTCCCTTCTCAATTTCCCCACTGCCTCCATTTTTCCCCTAAGACACTGAGTGAGGAACTCACATCTTAGTGAGTGACAGCATCTACAAGATGCTGCTCATTGCCACCACCTAACAGCAAGACCCCTGAAATCTGATTGTTCCATTAGGCCATTCATGGGGAAATAGTCCTGGAAGATACCAATGAAGTGATTACTGACCTGAAGAGGTCCAGAACTCACTAAAGGTAGCTGTCTAGGATGGGGCCCAAGGCCCCACAGCATCCTGACTACAGAGGCCCAAAGCTGAACAGGGAGTAGGCAAGGTGAGGGAGGGATATCCAGGAGCCTTGGACTTTACCCAGACTGGGTTTCCAGAAAACAATAGAGCCCAGGCAGGAAGAGGGAAGGGAAGAGGAGACAGTTGGGGAAATGTTAGACCCTGATGAAATTTTTGAATCATATAGTTTGAATCTCATAATAACAATAACTAGTGTTTATATAGTGTTTGTGGTTACATATGCATATATACATATGTACAAAGTTATACGTATATATCATATATATAGTATATGTATACTATGCACAAACACACACACACATACACATATATGTAATCTCATTTTGTTCTCCCAACAATCCTAGGAGGTAGGTGCCATTATTATTCCCTTTTTTACAGATGAGGAAACTGAGTCCCAGAGAAATTAGGTGGCCTGCTCAGGGTTTCAATTAGTAAGTGTCTGGGGCAAGTCTTCATGAGCCCAAATCTATCACTCTATTTACTAAACCATCTATCTGCCTTTAGAGAAACTGAGGCCCAGAGAGAAGAAGTAATTCACTCAAAGTCATAAAACATCTAAGTGACAGAGTAGTAACCCAGGACTCTTAATTTCTACTTTCTTTTCATTATGCTATGTTGCCTTTGGAGCAGTAGAGACTGAGGAAGATGGGGGGGTGAGGGCTGGAAAAGAAGGGGAGAGACGATGAGGGAGGGGCAGTGTGGTGCAGTGGGAAGTACATAGGCCTCCAAGAGCCTGGGATTCAAATCCCAGCTTTGCTGTGTACTAGATGTATGGCCTATGGCAAGTCACTCAGCTTTTCTGATGAACTTAGGTTCGTCCCTCCATGATACGAGATGAATGGACTAGAGTACATGTTTTCCAGAGCCAGCCCCTTCCAGGTCTAAAATTCTGTGATATCTGCAATGTTTAGATACGGCCTCCCAGTGCCTCCATGTTATGACTGCTCAGGTTTTGGCAGAGGGATAATGGGATCTGATGTATTTATCCTTGGTTCTACCTGCAGGTCTATAGAAATATAGCAATGGTTTGGGAGGGGGGAAAGGAGGGAAAAAAACCAAGTCTGAAAATCCTAGGATCATAGCTCTAGGGGTATATCTAGCCCAACCTTCTAATCTGACAGGTGAGGAAATTTGGGCCCCGGGAGGTTAATGGATTCCCCCAAATGACACAGGAAGTACCAGAGATGAGATTAGAACCCAGGTCTTCTGACTCCAAAAACCATAGATTTGGAGAGTGGACTATTTGCCATGGGAATCCCAATCAGCCAGGATTTTTGAGTGTCTATTATGTGTTCTAGGCTTTATGCTAAGAGCTAAGAATACAAATACGAGAAACGAAACAATCTCTACACTCAAGGAGCTTAGTTCCATTCTCACATAATTAGAATAATTCACATAATCCTTTCCAGCACAGTTTGAGCTATACATAGCTCTTTACCATCCTAGCCCATAGCCTTCTTTTCTGGATATCAAAGCAAGAAGGTTACAAAGTGGGTCACAGATTGAGGGCAGGAAAAGATCTTAGAGGTCATGTAATCCGCCCCCCATTTTGTAGCAGAGGTGAGGAAGTGACTTGCCCAAGGTCACACAGCTAATATGCATCCCAGTCAGGGTTTGAATCCCAGCACCCTCCAAGGCCAGTCCTTTCTCATGATGCCTCAGTGACTCCCTGGGGCCATTTTCTTCACTCTGTTGGTAGAGCATGGTATAATGGAAATTCTCTTAAATCAGAGTTTAGCACAGTGCCTGGCACGGAGTAGGTACTTAACAAATGTTTATTGAATGAACGACTGAAAAGTCATAGAGTCGGTCTTTGAACTGAGGTCATCTGATTCCAAATTCAACATTCTTTTCATGGCATTGCTCCTTAGCAACCCTGCCTCCTCACAGAGTTGGTCCAGAATTCAGTATCCAGAGATTTAGGGCTAGAAGGGACCTCTGATATCAATGAATTCAACTCCCTCCATTTTACAGAGGAGAAAACTGAGGGCCAGGGAAGTGACTTGCCCAAGGTCACATAAGTTAAGTCTATAGAATTTTAGATCTAGAGCAATAAGAGACCTCAGAAACTAGCTAACCAAACTTCAACATCTTACAAATGGGGAAACTGAGGCCCAGGCAGGTGACTTGCCGAAGGTCACACAAATTAGGACCATGAGATCTTAAATTTGGCATTGTAAGGGACTTCAGAGACCATCTAGCCCAACTCCAAGACATTACAAATGGGGAAACTGAGGCCCAGAAAGGTCAGGTGACTTGCCCAAGGTAACTTAAATCCTGGTCCCTCTGACTTCAACACTTGACCTTTCCCCAATTATTGGGAATAGAGGGGGACTACCAGGGAGTACAGCCAAAGATGCTACCAGTAAATCACCTGGTATTTATTTAAAGGTGCCCATCTCTGGAAATTAAAAGTAATTGGGGACCAACTAATGGTCTGTGACAAGTGCATATGGAGAATGTAATTAAGGGGGTTCCAGGTGCTCATCACTTTTATGATGCCAACCCTCCCACTCATGCTCCAAATCTGGTGGGTGGGCACCGCCATCTGCATGCTGCTGCTCAGATTCCAGGGGAAGGTTTGCTCAGTAGGTAGAAAGTGAAAATGACTCACGACAGCATAGCGAACGTGACCAGGGTGATGGTCAGGCAGAAGATGGAGAGGGAACAGCCAACATAACTGATGGATGACAGCGCCACCTGGTGTCCTTTGGTCAGCTGCGCAGAGAGAGGAAGCCAGGAGAGGAAGATGAGTTAGTGGGCTGGCAGGATGGAGAGATGGTGGTTAGGGCCCATCGGGCATCCCCTCTGGGTCCTGCCCCCTTCACTAGAGAGGAAGCCTCCCTCACCACCCACAGTCAGGGCGCCTGCATGTCTATACATTTGCCTGCCCCTGTCCCAGGGCGACTTGGACCTGATAGAGACTCAATGACTTTGATCATTCCAGCGAAATGTTGGCATTAAACGTCTTCCCAAAATGCCAGACGCAGGGAACCTCGTGAGAAGGGAGAGGAAGACTTTCTCAAGGACAGAACCCAAGACACCTACCCTGGGGTGGGGGCTGGGGGCTGGAAGGAAGTGAGGAAGGGAGGGGAAAACAGACCCCCATTTTGAGTGCATTTGGATCCCAGTAATGCCTGGCATTTACCTGACATCTTAAGGTTTACAGAGAGTAGTATATTTGGTTTTTACAACAATCCTGTGAGTTAGCTTGCTGTTGTTCTGTCTTTTCTGACTCTTTGTGACCCCACTTGGGGTTTTCTTGGAAGAGATACTGGAGTGGTTTACCATTTCCTTCTCCAGCTCATTTTACAGATGAGGAAACCGAGGCAAACAATGACTTGCCCAGGGTCACACAGCTAGTAAGTGTCTGAGGCCAGATTTGAACTCAGGGAGATGAGTTCTTCCTGACTGTAGGCTCTATCCACCGAGTCACTTAGCCGCCCTACATGAATTGGCTACTAGAGATATTAGGGTACCATTTTACTGTAAAGGAAACTGAGGCTCAGAGAAATTAAGTGATTTGCCCATGATCATCTAATTAGCAAGCACTAGAGGACAAAGTTCCCCTATCACATAGCTAGTTGACCACCCAGGCTCATATAACTAGTTAACAAGAAAGCATGGACTAAAGCCCAGGACACCCTGGTTGATATGTGATTATTCAATTCAACTCAACAAACACTAATTAAGCACTGACTACATACAGAGCACTATTCTGGGGCTAGAGGCACCTGAAGAATGAAAGAGTCTCTACTTTCAATTCTATTGGGAGTAAATAAAATGACCCCTCCTCCCTTACACAATAGGGTTTGAAGTCAGAGAATCTGGGTTCAACTTACCAGTTCCAGCACTTAGAAGCTGTGTGACCCTATGAAAGTCACATAACTTCTCTGGGCCCCAGTTTTCTCATCTGCAAATTGAGGAGGTTTGACTAAATGGCCCCTTGGGTCCCTTCCAGCCCTAGAGTTATGACCCTATGAACTAGAGAATGTACATGTTTATATACTGAGAGGAGACATTTACAAGAGAGTACAGAGCTAGCTAAGGATAGCTAGATTGTGCTATGGTTAGAGCTCCAGGCCTGGAGTCAAGAAGACCTGAGTTCAAATCCAGCCTCAGACACTTACTAGCAGTGTGACCGTGGGCAATTCATTGTTTGCCTCAGTTTCCTCTGTGAAATGAGCTAGAGAAGGGAATAGCAAACCACTCCAGTATCTTTGCCAAGAAAACCCCAAATGGAGTCACAAAGAGTGAAACACAACAGAAACAACTTAAAAAAACAACAGAGCTAGCTAAGGCAGCTCATTCCTTCTTCCTGACTAATTAATAATTAATTGAATAATGAATATGTAATACTTCTTCACAAATTTATTCACCAATCAACAACCATTTGTAAAACCACTATTATCATGCCTTAAGGAAATTATTATTATTATTATTATTATTATTATTATTATTATATTTATACAGCACCTTAAGCTAGGCAAAGCACATACGTCATCTGAGTTTATCCACAACAACCCTTGGAGGTAGATATTATTATTATTATTATTAGCTGCATTTTATATAGGAGAAAAGCAAGGCAGACAGAGGTTCAATAACCGGTCCAGAGTGACACAATTACTAAGCATCTGAGGCAGTTCTTCCTGATTCCAAGTCTAGAGTTGTATCTGCTGTACCACCTAGCCTCTTAGCTACTATACTATGAGATATAATTATATATAAAGTATATATGAGCTGTAGCACGGATCAACTTAAGCTGAGATTTGAAGGACATCAGATTCTCGGGGTGTGAGGGAGGAGAGTGCCCATCAAGCATGGCACACACGTAGCCTGGAGAAAAGCTACAGAGATGGTCAGGCTGAAGTGCTGGATGTGAAGAACAGCAAGAAACACACTTGGGCTTAACCATTCAACACTCAAATCTACCCTAACTTGATTTCATAATCCCACAGAATCAGCACCCCAGAATCTTAGGGTTGAAAGGGATGACAGCAGCAAAATAGAATGGAAGTTCCTTGAAACCAGGAGCTGTTTACTGTTTTTGTCCCTAGTGCCTAACACAGATCCACCCACAAGCATTTATTAAGTGCTTACCATGTACTAGGAGGCAGCTAGGTGGCTCCATGGGTAGAGCCAAGAAGACCTGAGTTCAAATCTGTCCTTAGACACTTACTAGATGTGTGACCCTGGACAAGTCACTTCACCCTGTTTGCCTCAGTTTCCTCATCTGTAAAACGAGCTTGAGAAGGAAATGGCAAACCACTCCGGTGTCTTTGCCAAGAAAACCCCATGGACAGTATGGTCGGGAGGGAGGGAGTAGGGCAGCACATCATGAAGAGTTGGACCCAACTGAACAACAATGACACATATACCAGGCACTGTGTCAAATGTTGGAGATACAAAGAAAAGGGAGGGGACAGTCCCTGGTCTCAAGGGGTTCACGGGGCCAAGTACACAATAGGCAGTCAAGTGGTAAAGCATCTAGAGCACTAGAGCTGGAATCAGGAAACCCTGAGTTCAAATCTAACCTCAGACACATTCTAGCTGGGCAGGTCATTCCACCTCTACTGCCTCGGTTTCCTCATCTGTAAAATGAAGATAACAACAGCATGTGTTGTGAGAATAAAATGAGATGATAGATATAAAGTATTTTGTAAGCCTCAAAGCTCTATACGAAAGCTAGCTGTTGCTGTTACAATTATAGAATAAATAAATATTGAATGAACCGATGGATGGGTGGATGGTTGGATGGATGGATGGATGGATGGATGGATGGATGGATGGATGGATGGATGAATTTAGCCCAAACTATGTTGTGATTTAGACCTGAGCAGCTTCAATGGAAACCCAGAGCACAATAGTCCTAGCTCTAATCCTGGCTCTGCCCCTAAGTAGGGGTCCCCTGTACCTCAGTTCCACTCCCCCCCAGCCCCGTGATTCAGAGAGACGCAGAACAAACTCCAGGGAGCACAAGCTCTGCCCGTCATTTCAGGGGAATCGGTATTATTGAAGTCTATCTTCCAGAGCAATTGGGCCCCAGCAGGGCGTGTGCCTGTGGATGGAATAACCTAATAGGTCTTTAATCCTGTCAACGTGTGTCATTCTCCGCTGGGTTAACCAGTCAGTCACCAGAGCAATGGAGGGCGGATCCCTGGACTTAGCTAACCCCATCTCGGGTCCCAGGGGAAACCTCAGCTTCATGCACAGCCATGGGGTCTTGGAAGCAGCTGGGGTAGAGCAGAGGGACATGCCACAATACCCCACGTCTTACTCCGCCCCCTCAAATATCACTCGTTTCCTCCTGGTTTTAAAACCGTCCCGATTTTCATGGGCCAGGCTGCAAATTTTCCGTGCAGCTGGTGATTTTCGTAGAACCCGGGGGCTCCAGCCCAGGCAGCCACAGAGGAGGCGCTGCACGTGGCCGAGAAATGCAATGGGAGGGAGAAGGACAACTGTTGCTATGATACGGGAGACTGCTCAGAAATGGGATGCACGCTGCCTTTGTCTTGGCCCTAGGATGCTTCCCAACCCTGAGACAAAGCAAACGCCTTCCTGGCAGGCCCAGTCAGAGCTAATGTGCCCTTGACCAGGCAGAAAGGTTCTTCTGCTAAGTTTCTGGATCATCTGGAATATCCCAGGGGCCCAGGATTTCCTTATCTTTGGCCCACAGTTTGAATAAGGATGCCTCAAGTCACAGAAAGTCAGAGTTGGAAGGGGCTACACTGGAAGTGGGATCCCCTCTCTACACCCCCAGCAAGGGCAGGACCAGGCAGCTCCTTTCCTGAAAACCTCAAGTGAGGGAGGCAGCTTGATAGAGGAGAGTCAACTGGGCTAGATTTGGAATTAAAGGTCTTGGGTTCTAATTCTAGCTTTACTGTTGACTTCCTGTGTAATCATAGGCAAGTAACTTAACCTCTCCGGGCCTCCGTTTCTTCCTATGGAAAATGATAGTGCCTGGCACATAGTAGGTGCTTAATTAATGTTTGTTCATTTAATAGCACTAGACTAGATGGCTTCTTAGACCCCTATAAACTCTAAAGTGATTATCTTAAAATTATATATTTAAATACAAGACAATATTAATATAATTATACATTATATAAAATACATTACATAATCTTATCTTGTATTAATTTAAATTAATTAACAATATTAATTTTATATGTAATATTTGTGTGTTTTGTAATATTTTGTTGTTCAGTTGTTTTCGGTTGTGTCCAACTCTTCATGTCTCCTTTTTGGAGTTTTCTTGGCAGAGATACTGGAGTGGTTTGCCATTTCCTTCTCCAGCTCATTTAACAGATGAAGAAACTAAGACAAACAGTGACTTGCCCAAGGTCACACAGCTAATAAATGTCTGAAGTCACATTTGAACTCAGGTCCTTCTGACTCCAAGCCTGACACTTTATCCACTGTGCCACCTAGCTACCCTAATAGAAGTCTGTAGTACTTTACAAATCATAAATTACCATAATGACAATAACAATAGCTAGGATTTATATAGTGTTTTAGGGCTTTACAAAGCACTTTACTAATATTATCTTACTTTTATCCTCAAAACAATCCCAGGAGGAAGGCAATATTGTCACCCCCACTTTACAGATGAGGAAATTGAGGCAGACAGAAGCATTTATTAAGTGCCTATTATGTGCCATGCAAGTTTACAAACATTATTGCAACAGCCCTGTGAGGGAGGCACCATTGTGATCCCC